TATCTTATGCTGTAGCTGGTGCTGACCTGCAGTACCTGGCTAGATGGGGGTTTCCTCCGATTCTGACCCGGATGTAAGGGCTTTTGTTGGAGCGGTTGTGGTGTTGGTTTGATGAAACCATAAATTGGGCGTAGTTCGAGGTTGCTGCTTGCTGGGGGCAATGGCTTCAGCCAGAAATCAACAAACCCCTCTGGTTCACAGCGTTGGACAATTGAGGAGGTCTCGGCACAAAAAGCAAACGCGCAAATTGCGAGACCATTGACCAACGAAAGCCTGCGTTCATAGGAAAAGGGTCCAACCACAGCGGAAACTGAGTCGCACGCATCATACTTGAACATGCAAGCGTTCCACCAGCATGCAAACCGTGCAACCAAGAAGTGACCATACCCAACATGAAGCCGCCAGTCCAGCCCGAGACAAGCTTTCGCCCTCAAAGATAGTACACAGACAGTGTAATGACCTGGACCCCTTAACGCGCCTGCTGCTGAGCAACCTGCCTCCGATGCTCAAGAATCTGCATCCGCAGACCCTCCGACGCGACCTCCACATCAAGAATAGCACCAACACCGCGTTTCCACGTCTCCTCCAAACTAACCAATTCGCCGTGTCTAGCCTCCTGCGCAATCTTCCTCTGCTTATTGGTTTCCTCAGCAGCCTCCTTTGTCTCAGCCAGCTCCTTTTCCAACCCGCCAAGGATTTCCTCCAACTGCGAATTACCAATCAACCACGCATTCTTGCCGTGCTCCTCGAGCAGAGCCAGGTTCTCATGGCGCTTGGCGAGATGCAAGCTTGATGCGTATGCTTTTTGCAGAGTCTGACGCCATTCTTCTAGGTTGGGCGCGTCGTTGTCTGAGGCGCGGATTGGGGCTTCGGGTGCTTCGTAGCGGGAGAGGTCGATTCCGCCTGTGAGTGGTGTGCCTTGTGCTTTGCGCGCGAGCTCTTGTTGCATGAATTCAGTGAACTTGGGTTCTGGGGCTTCTGGGATCCATGGGTGCAGCGTTGTAGAGTGCTCCGGGGATAGCTCTGCGTTGATGAGCTGCTGGGCTCGTGCTTGCGCGGAGGCTGAGGGCGCCGCGTCGACGTCTGGTCGGTATGTTAGGACAATTGGGTTCATTGAGAAGTGAGCATTGGGTTTTACTTACAGGGAAGTGAGTCGTGGGATTCGTTGATGAGAGGCATTTTGAGTGATCTGCTGGTTAAGATCGAGAATGTCGCGGTCGATTAATCTTTGGATGCTCCAGGGCGGTCAGTGACATCTTACTCAGCGGGTCATGTGACCGAGAAGTATACAGAAATGAGGGGAATAAATAGGGTCGTATAGTGTACAACTTATGTTAGCTTAATGATATGTCTGATTTGGGAGGCTCCTAGCTGCATATGGACCATGGGGCCAGTGGGGAAAACCAGGGTCCGGATATAAAGTAGATAGAACGCTGCCAGAAGCCCTCAAGAAGGTCCCACCCACAGGCTACATTAATCACTTCTGATTGCCAGGTGCCCTCAAGGCAAACCTGACGCCTGCCGCATTTTATCTAATATCAGTTCCCAGCTTCCCGACTGGCCTTCTCAATATGCAGATATGACGGCATATCTTATCCTCCGTGCGGGGGGAGGACCAAAGTCTAATCCCGTTTGGGATGCGGAATGCAGAAGAATGACGATCTAGGAGGTCGCTATCACACATCGTCTAAGCGATGTCACCTCTTGCAGGGTCTACTAGCGTGGTGCTTACCTCTTTTCCCAAGCTTGCATGTTGATCCTAGCTTGACTTGCGGGCGAACCCTCCGTGACGGGCTTGTATAAGGCTCGTGTGTTGCCCTGGGACGGCCTATCTCTCCACAGGGGCAAACTGACTCAGAGAGGTCTATACGCTGAAGTCATAGCCCTATATTATTATCTGGTATATTGGCAAACCCTCAAAAATGGCCAACGTTCGATTGGGCGTTATCTTCGCAGCGGTGACGCTCGCAGCGCTGCTGTGTTTGCAGCTACTCGCGGTGTTCAAACATGACGAGAAATTACCCTTGCCTAGTTTCAGTAGGAACTTGAACCAGTGGAGAAGTAGGGCAAATGAAGCTACTGACGACGGGACATTTCTGGTGGGAGCTGGCAAGGCCGATGTAACAGGGTATGATTGTGCTGTTAACCCGATATCTACACCCCGAAAATTGCTAATAGAACAATTAGCCCCGTGGTTGAAGTCGACTTCAATGGCTATGCTAGTCTCGACCAGCTTGGTACCGGTCTGAAGCAGAGACTATATTCTCGCGCATTCATTTTTGCAGACCCGAACAAACCAGAGGATACTTTTGTGTACCTCGTTCTCGACACACTTGCCGGTGACACCGCCGTGCGACATGGAGTCCTACAGGGTCTCGCTGCACTCGGTGCTGATTATGCACGATACGGCGAACACAACGTCGCATTGACAGGGACACATTCGCATTCCGGCCCCGGGGCGTGGATGAATTACCTCCTCCCTCAGATTCCCACGCGAGGCTTTGACAAGCAGAGCTATCAAGCTATTGTCGATGGTACTATTCTCTCTATCAAGCGTGCCCATGAAAGTTTGACACCGGGACGGCTGTCTTTTGGGTCCATTGACCTGGAAGACTCCAATACCAACCGCAGCCCTTATTCGTACGATCACAACCCCGAAGAGGAAAAGGCACGGTATTCAGCAAATGTGGATAAATCTTTGACACTCCTTCGCTTTGACCGGGAATCTGACAACAAAACGGCGGCGGTTTTGACTTGGTTCCCTGTCCATGGCACATCCATGTATAACAACAACACCCTAGTTACTGGGGACAACAAGGGTGTAGCCGCCTATCTATTCGAGCGGAGTATAACCGGCGATGCAAGATTTGCCGATGATGCTGTCATTGGATTCTCCCAGGCCAATGTCGGAGATACAAGCCCTAATGTTCTGGGTGCTTGGTGTGAAGATGGGTCGAACGAAATGTGTCGGTATACTGATAGCACCTGCGGTGGAAAAAACGAGCCATGCCACGGTCGAGGGCCTTTCTTCCGGGAAAAGGATAATGGCGCAAAGAGCTGCTTTGAAATTGGACGCCGCCAATATTCAGCAGCAAAGAAGCTTTGGGAGCAGATGAATACTAGTCCTATCAAACTCACTGGGAGCTCTGCTGTCAGATCTTTTCACGTCTATCAGGATATGAATGGTTACACCTTCCAGTCGCCATTCAACTCGAGTAAGCTTACGACATGTCCTGCGGCATTGGGATACTCGTTTGCTGCGGGAACTACAGATGGGCCAGGGGCCTTTGATTTCACTCAAAATGCCACCGGTCCAGCTGCAAGCAATCCTTTGTGGCAAGTCGCGCGGGCATTCATCCACCAGCCGACCGAAGAACAGCAGAAGTGTCAAGGCGCCAAGGATGTGCTTTTGGATGTCGGCACTCTTACAGAGCCGTATGCTTGGGCGGCAGATATTGTTGACATTCAGCTGTTGAGAGTGGGCCAGCTGTTTATCATTGTTTCCACCAGCGAAGCTACCACCATGTCTGGGCGACGCTGGAAGGAAGCAATAGCCAAAGCAGCCAGGGAAAAACTCTCCGTTTCTGACCCTCAAGTAGTGCTAGGCGCCCCGTCGAATAGTTATGCACACTATGTGGCAACCGAGGAAGAGTACAGTGCCCAGCGCTACGAGGGCGCGTCCACGCTCTTCGGACCAAATACCCTGGCAGCTTATATCAACCTGACTCTCACATACCTGCCATACTTGGACAAGCCATCAATTGCTTCGACCCTCCCAGAGATCCAGCCTGGGCCCAGTCCACCAGTAAACACCAATCACTCATTGAGCTTCATCGCAGGGGTTGTGTACGACGGTGCACCATTCGGCAAGTCCTTCGGGGATGTGCTTTCAAACCCGGGGAGTGGACCTTTCAGCTCCGGTAAGGTTGTCAATACGACCTTCGTGGGCGCCAATCCGAGGAACAACCTTCGTCAGGAATCGACCTACGCGGCAGTTGAAAGAAAGAAAGAATCCGGTGGCTGGGAGGTGGTGCGCAACGACCGCGACTGGAACTTGGAGTTTCTTTGGACACGGACAAATAATTTGCTTGGCTACAGTGAAGTGACTCTTCAATGGCAAATTGAGGATGATTATTACAGCGTCGGCGACCCGACCCCCCTGCAGGATGGAACCTATCGGATGCACTACTATGGAGACTCAAAGAATGCCCTTGGCCAGATTTCATCGTTTGAAGGAATCGGCGGAACATTTACAGTCCAGACTTAGCCTGAATCATTTGTCTGCAGATATCGGGTTGATATGGTGGCTGAATCATGCAATGACACTATATCCTTAATTTTTGAAGTATACCGGAACAAAATCAAGCTCTACCATCTAAGCGCCCGTACTTCTCATCAATTGAAAAAATTCAACTATTCTCAGTGTATAAACAAACCTCACGTCCTCTATTTAGGTTGAAATTAAAATCAAAAGGTGGTGCTGCGCCTACAGCGGGCCAATCACCACGCGCCATCAACCCCGGCGCCTACTGCAACGTCTCTTTGTTCGCAGATCTATTTCAAGTGAAACGTCCCACAAAGAGCCCCTTGCAATGGCGGCCTCTGACGATACTAATGCCCTTATATCTGCAACAATGGGCGGCTGACAGGAGCTCTAGGCCTAACCCAACCGGGCCCTAAGTCTGCAGATATACATGTTAGGGTCCTCAACAGCGAATCTCTCAAAGGAAAAGAATTCCCTCCTTCCTGGTATCGGAGTGCCTCGCTATCGCCTCATTCTTTTGTTTCTTTTTCCTTCTGATCATCCTGATCAAGCCATTCTTTCATCTGCGGCCATCAGAACGCCCAGAACAAGATTACCTTTATTCTTTGGCCATGCTTTTCTATGCGTGTGATTGCTCCTATATTGAATCTCTTTTTATATCTCTGCCTGAAATTCCTTCTTTCTCCGCTGTCTACGCTCTCTGAAGTCTTCCTGTCACTCGCTGTTTCTTGCCAGGATGTTCCGCGCCCAGCTCTTTTTGCTATTCGCTCTTTTGGCGTGGACTGTCTCGGCTGGTCCGATCTCTCGCTGGTTAATTACTGGCCCGCCTGTTTTTGTTCTTACCGAGTTGGAACCTTTATCGACTTCTTACTCGCCCAAGGATCTCTCCCGGCGTGATGTCAATGACAAGCATGGTGGATTGACGGTCATTCCTGTTCCTAGTCCGACGCATAAGGTCGAGAGCTCAGCAGATGCACCAACATTCGGGCCCCTTTCATCGCTACCTGATTCAGTGACTTCTTCTCCGGCCACAGCCTCTACCTCTCTTTTATCGGTCAGGTCAGAGCTCACTAGCTACAGCTGGCAGAAACCTTTTACGATTGATGATCCGAACTATACCGAGTCTGCTCCTGTATCCTCTACAAGTACTTCAAGTTCAAAGAAGTCGAGCACGGTGGCACCTACTACCACACACGCACCTATTAAGACACATGCTCCCACTTCAACATCTCCCACTTCAACATCTCACACTTCAACAACTCACACTTCAACATCTCACACTTCAACATCTCACACTTCAACTGCATCAACTTCGTTGTTGACTACGGCCAGCACCACGGCACCCATTCCTTCATCTGCTGCCATAATCATTGATATACTACCAAGCAGCGTGCCAAAATCGATCAGCAGTAGCAGTGTTAATCCAGATGAAGTTGATGTCATGACCTATGTACATTTGACCATATCCTCTTCGACTACCATGAGGTCTTCAACCACCACAACCTCTTCAACGGCGAAATCTTCCACTTCGACAATGCCAATGGTGACACAAACAAGCCAGGTCGTTATCTACGTGAGTGGATCACATTCAGTACCCTACTCAACTACCACAAAGGCTTCTATTCGCTCGACAACCACATCGGTTAAACACACGACTACACCCACCAAGCCCACAGCTATATCTACTCATGTACCAAGTACATCTGTCAAGCCGACGACTAAATCTATCCAACCAACGACGACATCTATACCACCAGTCCCACCAACAACTACCTCTATCCCGCCAATCACAGCATCTACCTCTATTGAGCCAGTTGCGATATCTCCCTCGGGGACAACGACGTCTATCCCAACGATCCCGCCAACAACCAGTCCTCTTCCACCAGCAGCCATATCTATACAACCAGCCGTCGCATCTCTCCCACCAACAACGACAACTATCCGACCTATCCCAGCAGCTAGTTCTATTAGTTCTATCAACCAAGTCGCCGCATCTATCCCGCCAACAACATCGCTCGAGCTTGATCCTGTCACGGTCCTCGCAACCAAGACAGAAACCGTCCGCATAACAGTTTGGCCAACCACCACTGCCTCCACCGCGCCCTCCGTGTCATCCTTTTATTCGAGTGAACAACACACCTTCCACGTCCTCGCAACAACAACAGAAACATTTGTCGTAACAATATACCCAGCGGCAACATCTCTTCCCTCGACATCATCCACTTCAAGTACTTCAAGCGAGAAGAGCGCCATCCCACCGGCAGTAGTGTCAACAGCAAATACAGCTGGGGCAGCAGCGGCAGTGGCAACTACTCAACCCACTGAACCTGCCGCTGCGGTGACAACTCCCTCCGCTGCACCTGTACCTACGAACATGACAACATCGCAAGCAGGACAGGGCTTGCTCAGTGTCATTCCGGTGACACCGGCTGGGTTTATTCATGTTACTGAGACTGTTACGAAGGTTGTAACAGAGAGGATTGTCGAGACTGTAACTGCTACTGTAACTAGGGATGTATAGCTGGATAATATTTCTCAATTGATGTTCTTCTTGTTCTAAATGGAGGCAATTTGTCAGGTTGATTTCAATTTGTGGATTATGTAGTTGAGCTATACTTATACCTTGTTTCTTTCTTTTCTTTGGAATACATATTGATAAGTCACTTTTGTATAATGTTACCTGTTACCTTGAATACAGACTTGTGTCATTTTTTTGTAGTCTGTTGCTTTTACCTGATGGCTCCGGAAGCACTGGTATTTGGACATATCTCTCTACCTAAAATGAACCACAATCATTTCAAATATAGCCCAAGTTATACGTACGCACTCAAATTTCTCTTTAATTATTTTTCGGTCTTTGTTTCACACGTCATGCCTTTTATGGCTATATCCTTGGCATTATTCCAGAACGGGAAGACATGCAGGCGCCGAAAGCCCACTTTTCTTCCCTCCGCGAAGGTATAAATACGTCTAAGTCAAGTCTGAGACCTTCTTCACACCTTTCTGCTCTATCGTCTTCCTACTCTCAACTTTCAATTCTGAAACATGTCCTTCTTCCAAAGCTGCGAAAACGTTCGCATTGAGATCAATGACGGCTCAATCTTCCTGCACTGTGATGCCCAAGATGTAGATGGCAACCTTCATCCTGCCACGTTGAGACTCGATGACTTCATTGGAAACGAAGATGGTATGGTTTTTATCCACCCTCCTTAGCCCATTCTGACGATGTTGCAATCACTAACAACGAATACTAGGGTGGTTCATGTGGGATGGAGTAAACGCCGGTCAGAGTGCCCAGAGCATTGAGCTCGATGGGTCCATGTTGACAGCGGAGTTGCCCATGAGAGACGGAGGTTACAGAGAGAGACAGGGTATTGACCTGAACGACCGGATTAGCAATGAGAATGGGCACTTGGTGTATCAGTGTAAGACTAGTCTTTTGCTTACAAAAATTTGGCTAACTTTTCTTTCTTTCTAGGAGCTCCATTGGCTTGCATCTAGCGGTCAATACTATGTTTGCAAGCAATTACTCTAGAAGGGCAATTGCCTCTTCTCTCAGTACAAAATACACCAGGCTTCGAGGATCAATTTCAAAATTTATTGATTTTATGCGCAAGAAAGGCGTATTTTCTGCAGTAAATCGCTTCATTTTCACCGTGGAAAATCATTGAGGACCTACATTGCAGTAGTTACTAGACAAACAGACCCGCAATGCCCAGTTTTTCTCAAGCCAACTGGCCCATGCGCGGAGCCATTTTTTAAACGTGTACAAGTATAATTCGCACAGCGACGGGTCTATATAGGAATCTGCAGCTGCAATATCAAGTAGGGCGCCAATGGTTAAGGTTGGGCTGACCTCTTTCTCATTAAGCCTCACGTACATGTTAGCCTTGCAGAAGCTGTAACGTTACCTGCCACAGGCCATGTTTATCTCAATTTCTGTGAACATGGTATAACAGGGAGTGCACGATTTTTTCTATATATAAGTATCCATGGCCTTTCGGCGGATTTGAGAATCCTTAGGAATCGTGCCCTAAACTCGCACCAAAGAGGATCGATCCACTGACAATATTGTCTTGAAGATTCGGTGAGAGGTGTGAATCATGGACGACCCACTGCGGGGACTTCTTACAAACAATGTGACGAACGATATTCTTTCACCGGAGAGTTGCAGGCAATGTTGATTGCTTTGGAACAATGGTAGATACAGTAGTACCCACGCAGTTAAGGTACGAGCTTAACAATACCGAAGTCAAGACCACCTAGGTAAGACTTGTAAGCTTCATACGCCAATTTTCTGGCTGGGTTCTTAGGATCTTTAGATCCATGAGGATTATGAAGTACTTGTGGTTGATAAGAAGGAAGTACGACTCTTGAGGATGACTATATGACCCTAACGGAAGTTGACCAATTAGGTTGCCTGCTAGGAGCCCCAACAACGAATGTCAGTCGCAACATAGTACTTAGAGTCGTTGATAACAGTAACGAGCACGTCTATACCAAAAAGGATAATAAAAGGATACTAAAAGTATAATAAGATTACATAGGTTGAATAATAGCCACCATGACGATGTCCAAAAGAGACTGCAAACCAGCAATCGATGCACGAACCAAGCCCGAGAGTGACACTGACACGAACAACCAAGCAAAGTTGCCCCAAGTTCAGTCTACCTACCACACATCAAACTCCTCATACAAAAATAAAGAAACCCCGAAACGAGGCAAGAACCCCAAATTACAACTGACACAAAACACCACCAGCCTCAGCAAACTTCTGCTGATACTCCTTTAGACTAGCCCACTGCCCAAGCTCTTCCTGATCACGCTGATAATCAGAAAGATAACTCATAGCACGACCATTAACCTGCGGACTAAGTCCATCGGCATTACTAGCCGAGTCAGCCATTGAAGAATGACATTCCAGTCGGACAAGAGTCTCAATGAAGGCGTGCAGGTAGGATTCTGCTTCTGCGGCGGTGAGGACGTGTAGACCTGGTAGGCCTGGCGTGGGTGTTGGGGATGGGGCGGTTGGTTCTAAGGGGTGTTGGGGATGGGGTGTGAAACTTGGGATTTCGGTTGAGGGGGTTTGTTTTGTGCGTGGGGAGAGGTTTAGGAGGGTTGAGGCTACTTGGCGGATTTTGCCTGTCTGTATAGGGATGAGAGGATGGTTAGTGAGTTTGGTTTGGTCGTGATTTGTGGGTGGATTGGTGGGAGACATACGATGCTTGCGCCGTTTGGCTCCATGTTTACTTCGTTTACTGTTCTTAATAGTACGAAGAGGTCTTTAATGACTGATTGACGCTCTTCCGCCATCATGCGGCCGATATAGTCGTTTTGGGCGTGGGCCTGGGCCTGAGTGTTGGTGTTGGTTTCTGATGGAGTGGTTGTAGTGCCAGCGGCAGCTTGCGTCATATCTGATGTGCCTTCGACCTTGATCTGCGGCGTTGTGGCACCTGGTGCAGTGAACTTGGGCGACATTCCATATTTTGAAAAAGTTTCAAAAAGGCTCCAGTACTTCTCAACTAGGAAAGACCTGGTGCACAGCTGACTGGCATATATGTTGGCTTTTTGAATCTCATACTGGATGGCGCGTCGTTCTTGATGGATGTGGTCATCTGAGTAGTTGAACACTGTGCCGTCTTCGCCGAGACCAGACAGGCGGGCTGGGGATAAATGTTTCGGGTGGTCTAGCGACAACTCAACGGGGACATTGAGTAATGCAGACTTTGCTTTCCGAAGACAGCCCCAAAGGCTGGTACGTTGATGCTCCCAGTCGAAGATTTGACCACTGCCAAATGCTATCTCCCAAGATAGCAGGTCCGTGTATGAACTATAGACACGGACATTTGCATTGAATCCGACTAATCGTGAAACGCGACTCGATGGCTGCGGCTCAACGTGTGTTGGGAACAGAAACTCGTCATCAATTTCCATCGGCAGTGGCGGGTACCGGTCTGTGGGAGTCTCTGGAGGGACGTGGACCTTGATATCAGCAGACCCCATTTGGTGCAATGTCTGATACCCAACAAGGGTGACATAGAACAGACGTCGGCCGAGCTCCTGGGTGATGAGATCGACACCTTGGGTGTCCATGAAACTATGAACGGGTTGATCTTGCATCATTGAGACCGATGATAGTGGGCCGTTGGCTCCCAGTGTTGATGATCGGGTGGTGGCTGGCGGAGACCGGCATAGATCATATACTGAGAGCATGGCTCGGCATTCCGAGAGATAGACGCGGCAACGACGCATGTTATAGATATAGCCAGCACCGACGGCGAGGAAATAGCTGATTGCCGCATCATATACTGTGGCGTTGCGGTCGAGATATCCGGCACCTCGGGCTTGGATAGCAACGTCGAGACACCGCTTGACCAGAGCTATAGAGTTAGGAAATGCATTGCGTTCAGCCTCAGTGTTGAGCCTTAATTTAGGTCTTCGAGGAAATGAAGCCACGAGAAATCCAATCATGGACGCCAAAAGGGCCAAAAAAGTGTGATTGGTCACATCTTCCCTCCTCTCAAAAGCAGCTCTGAAAGTAGGCTCATGAGGAACTGGAACCAAAGGATGGATATAAGTGAAAAAATCATCGAGCAACAGCTGAACTGTATGCAAAGAACATATCGATTCTGCCGAAAGGGGAAACGGCCCAGATGGAGGGCTGGCGAACGTGGCCTGCGGAGTCATCACTGACGGATATTCTGCCGGACTTACGGATGCCTCATCGTCAAGCAGAGGTTCCCGCTTCTGTTTCTTAAGCGCCTCTGCATGGCGGTTAGGAGGCCCACGGCGTCTGCTGGGTCTCTCGTAGGTGCAGGGAATCTCCAAGCTAGCGCATGACCGACAAGGCGGCCCGCCGGTATCACACTTGCATGGAAGATCAGTATCTCCACAGTTTGCCGCGGATTAAAGCGGTCATACCTTCACTTTTCGTATACTGCAGGCATCGCAGGCCTTGCGCAGCCTAGTTTTCAGGTCCATCGGTGAGCTGTTTACGCGCTCGGATTGACCATGCCTCAAGCTGTCAGGTCATGATTAATCCAGGGACAGCACAAGCGCATGAATTCAGGGCCGGAAAACCCTTGGTATACCCCCGAGCAAAGAGTGAAGTCCTCGGAGTATATCAGAAACTCCGAAAGGCAAAAACGCGCTTCAATGGAAGTCCGGGGAAGATTGGAAGGCCGGGAGTCGCTAAGCGGGGCAGATGGAACTGAAGCCGAGCCGCCAAAGATGAGTCGCTGGAGGAATACGATGCAATTAGAAATGACCTCGGATGCGAGTCACGTGCACGTAATGCCCAAAATTAAGAACTACAAGTGGAATGAAACTTGAGAACTACGATTGGATTTATGAAAGCTACGGGCCCGATTTTAGTGGCTCAAACCAGGGGGGAAGGAGCCCGCCACATGGTCCAGACATGGAAATTAGATTGACCTTGTTTAAATGTCGGTCTGCACATATGATATCGTTAACAGGTCATGGCATAATGTCATCACGATATTGTTCACCGAGCCGGCTAGCCTGCTGGTTAGCAGCTCGACGCTTGCGCTCAATATCCGTCACCCAAAGTGCAGAGCCAGCGGCAGTGGTCATCAAAAAGAGCATGGAGAAGGGGGGAATCAGCTGAAGGATCAGGGCGACCGTTCCAAACCTAAATGTGATATCAGACTCAGATCGGCAATGATGTGGATCAACACTTACGTGGTATACTGTAGCTGGCGTCGACTGATGCTTTCCTTCCTTTGCTGCTTGCTCATATCAAGCAAGTGGAAGTAGCGCCAGTGGTGGAAGGGACCGGCACGATAGCCAGTCAAAATGAGAAACATGGGAGTGCCAGCCACGGGGATAAAGATGAGCGGAAGCAAAACAACGAACTCAACGATTTGCCGCAAGGAAAAGGGAGAATAGACGGCACTGGTGGTCGGCGTGCCGAGGCGTTTGGCAGGATCGCCCGGCTCGGGGTAGATGACACGGGACGTGGTGACAAGCTCCTCTTGGCCCTCGTTTACCAAAACTGCATCAAAAATATCCACTAGGGTCTCATCCACGAAGAATGCCTCGAAGAGCGCGGCGACGATCGCAGCACCTTCACCGAGGACTAGGAATGCACCGCTAACCCATGATGAAGCGCCCTGGAAGATAGCAAGGAATGCAACCTGGGGGAGGTAGGTGAAGAAGAAGAGAATGAAGTATATAAATGAGGAGAGGAGGACGATGGGCAAAAGGCGGGCCTTGAACAGAGGCCATAGGAACCGGTTCGACGCAAAGTAGAAGATGCCCTGATATCAGATCAGTATTGACTTTGCATTTTGATCGAGGACACATACTCGAAGAGGGTACAGCCAAGCTGCACGGCTGGGATCCCACTGTCTCGACATGGCTTGCAGACTCGATCTCTCCTGTCTATGTAGTACGCAGACGGAAAAAGGAAGGATGCTCTTATCGATAAGAGTCACGAGATTAGGAGCTACCGCTCTGACTAACATGTGACTAAGCACGGCCTATTTTGCTCGAGATTTTTTTCGCCGAGCGCCCTTTTCCTTTTCTTCTTCACATAAAACTATTTTCCTCCCTATTCACTCTGGACTTCCCTGCAATGGAAAATCCTGGAGGGGAAATGGGAGGATAGACCGAGTCTGCTGGCTTACCCCAAATTCTTCTACTTAAGCGTGGAGCGTTTGGAAATATATTCAGCTGTACATTTCCTCCTCTCAGCCTTAGTATGCTTAAGCTTCAGTCGTGGCTTAAATCCGAGCCCGGATTTCTTCCACAATATGCTCCAGATTGTGTACAATCGCCGTTGGTCGTAGATCAGGAGCTGCGGCGTCATTCCATCCAGTGTTGGCGCGATCAACCCAGATAGCTTGCATGCCCGTACTGCGCGCCCCGACGATGTCGAATGGGTTACCGCTGATCAGCCATATCTTGCTCATCTGGGTTGGGGCTTTGCCCATTTGAGTTGCTAGGTGCTGGTAGGTTGCCCGCGATGGTTTGTAGCGCTGGATCTCATCCACTGTGACCAGATCTTTGAACGCGCTCGCGTGAGGCGAGAGGTCCTTCGACCGGAGCACCGAGTTAGATACCATGATCTTGGTGCCATTGGAGAAGATCACGGCCTCGAGGGATGGGTCTGCTGCTACTTTAGTCAGGGTCGGGGTCACGTCGGTGAATGTGGAGAGACTATCGTAAGCTGCCATCAGTTGTTCGATATCGTCATCGCTCAGCTGCTCCCCATTATCGGCCAGTGCATGCTGCAGGGAGTTAAATGTGACGATTGAGAAGTCTTCATATCGATCTAGAAGCTGTTAGTATCGCACTTTGGATCTAGAGTGATTGGCCTACCCATGCTGTTCAGCCGCCATGTATACTCCAGTTGATATCGTCTCCAAAGAGCGGAGATCGACTGCGCCTTGGCATGGCTGAAGTGCTTCTCCAGCTGCTTGACAATCGACTCGGTCGAGAGCAGTGTACCGTAAAGATCAAAAGCAACAACTGTAGTACCTGTCATAATCGCTGTGAGGTTACAGGTCAAAGACAAGAGCTTTACATAGCTTCTTGTAAAGCTGCGACTACAAGTAATGATACCGGATGAGAAACCTGTTGAGCTTAGCAATGTTTGCACTGTTTGCACCAGGTGACTTAATCTTTCTCTCCTACCGCTTCTACCTTTAGTAGGTAATCTAGCTTTTTAAATTACTTTTTTCCAATCATAAAGTAATAATTTATAGGTTATTAGGTTACTTCTATCGGTCTCTTTATCTTGTAAGAAGGTATATAATACGAGATACCCCGCCGAATCATGGATGTATCATGATGATTTTCGTCAGGGTCTGGTGCTATTTGGCAACCCTCTCGTATATCATGCTTGCCGCATGACTATGGTCGAATGCCCACTGATTCGCAATATTGAGGAACACTTTGTGATCTAATCACAGGCAATACATACTATTTTCTTAGCGGAACCTGACTTTCTCTGAGGTATACTAATGAGGACATGCCCGTCACGAATTGTAGTAGTATGTTTCAGTTCCAATCTCAGGAAGGTAGGTTTATGAAGCAGAGATAATCATAGGACACTCGGATATTTAGATCCTTCACGCTGCCTTTCTTCGCTTCATTCATCATGGAAATTATAAACAAGTCTACCCATTTCGTATTGTCCCGCGGAGTTGACAATGACCATCCGACGGGTAAAGTAACGTTGGCCACCGATCAGCTCAAAACCCCAGACCTTGCGATGATAAACATTAAATTCTGTTATAACGGGCATAATTCCAATGCGTTTCAGAGACTTACCTGCTCCAATGTCCAGCCCGAATTCACACTACGCTCAAAAGTGTGCAACCAAAGACCCAAACCGTTTCCAAAATGGGAAGCTTCGGGCTCTTCCACGAGAAACCCGCCAGCAATGGTCCCATCCGGGTCAGTTTTTGCTTGAAGGAATCGCGCTACACTCGCATTATTCTCGACGTTGGTTTGCAAGTCGAGATCTGGCAGTATGCTGCCGTCAATATCTGTAGAGCAACCAATAAAGCGACTCCAGCCTTGAACAGCACCAAAAATGTAGTCCTTGTGATGATTCATTTGCCAATTCAGCGTTCGCTTTTCAGTCGTCCCTGCGAGGCCTCCGCCTATTGCGCTTTGAACAAATTCGATGTTTACCAAGGCTTTCCTGGTCATGGGGTCTGTTGTAGTATACTCCGAAATATGGACGTGCAGCGTTACTGCTGAAAATGCCTTGCGAAGTACCCATGGGACTCCTAGCTGTTTAATGATACCGTTAGCTTGTAGTTATTTAAGCAGGGTACTGAAAAAGGGTCCAAATTCTTGATCTGGAAGGAATGAATATATAGGTACCAGCTTCAGCATTGGATCCGTTTCATTCGACAGGCCCTTGTCCTAATAAGATAAAAGGTCAGTACCTGTGATCAAAGTCCTGATAAATTATTATATGGTGAAGGGGAGTAGATGGGTTCGTTTACCAGAGTCCAAGTTCCATTGAGGTTCTGTATGGTGATGGTCATGGGAGCAGCCATGTTGAAATGCTTGTGATGATGGTGTTTGACCACAAGGCCAAGGACTTAAAGTTGAAAAGTTAGATAAGGGGCATGGCTGCAGATATATTGGGGAGGGCAGCGATACAGCTATAATATACCCCTTGCATGAGCGCAAGCCCAGGGAGTGCTTAGTATTCTCACCCTGCTAAACATGTGCCGATAATGTACAAAAATCACGAATGACTAATCAGCTTTAACCTGACCTTCTAAGCTTCCAACGTCATCTAACTTTGAGTATTTTGGGTGTAGATTGTATAGGTAGGTCCCGGGTACAGTCACTGGAGCTGGGGACAGGATCCAGCAACATAGACCCTTTTGCATAAAGAGATGGTTGGAAATATTTCCACAGCGGGGCTTTTGATAGGTAGCGGCACATCAAAGGCATCCCCATAGGTAATTCAATCCAATTCCTCAGGGTTGAGCAAGAGATCGGCAGGCCACTGAACTCGCCCCAGGAATGATCTAGAAACTGCGACCCATATCACTACCGAGCACTCAGAGAGCGCTACCGTGTATGCCCAAACGAGATTGACTAGCTGTAGCGCCCGTAAAGAGGCTACAAACCCCGCGACCAAGGGACCAAGGTACCAATATCATGTGCATTGGTTGTGGTAGAAAAAGCAAGGAAAATTCGATGCCAAAAAAAAGAGGGAAAAAAGCAAGGGACCTGTTATGATCAGGCATACAGTATTTGCAATTAAGCTCATTGTTAAAGATCATAGTCTGAGGAGGAGCGTAAATATTGATGCGCGCACTTTAAATACCTTCCTCTTGTAAGGGCCTATATATAATATTAGATTTCAAATCGGATCCTTTCTAATAAGAGGATGATAACTTTGGAACCCTTCGAAGGCTATGCTATTAATATATCTAAGGTCCCTAGCCTCTGTAGGATACAGTAAACATAGCTTGCTCTAGCTTGATCTGAATTATATTGCCCGCTGCCCAGATCAGGGCTTCTTTCATGGCTTTGTAATAAGGTTACAACGCGAGGTAAAGAGTATAGAAGATAACCCATATCTTAATTGAAACACTAATAAGTCTACCATCTTGCACTATATATACATGGATCAGTGATTAAGTAAAGGTACTCAGGGGCGTGCTAAAGTTTACTAGTCAAAAAGTCGGAGGCGAGTACTAAAATAGAACTAGAAATGGTTCGAGGTCCATATATGCGGGACAATGATGTCGATGTTCCGTGGGGCAAAACAGCTCCCCTCACAGCTAGGAGCTTAAAACCAACCTCAATGACCTCGGACAATTACGCGGTCTTCCGCGAATGTTTCTCAAATGCCATCGTCGCTCGCTCAGAGGGTAAATCAAGAACATCCAAACGAAAATCCAAAGGCAAACGCAATGCCCGCAAAGACGTGACAGAAGACATCTCAACGGAACGAGCAAACCCAGAAGAGCTCGCCGAATTCGTCGACGTAAGTACACCCAAATCCATTCGCAAAGCCCATCAATCTCACACTTACTCCCAGTTCCTCGCCTCAGAAACCTTCACCTCCTTCCCGGAAGCCCTCCAAAACCTCAACTACTCCGCAACCCAACACGATCCAACCCTGACAACCCTCTACGTCCCCCCAGACGCAGACACCCCTTTAGACCGCACGACCCTTGAAACCCTATGCACCCCAATCCCCCTCTCAGTAACGGACTCACTAGCAGTCTATGGCATAATCCCAGATGCAGCCGACCTCCCGGACTTCCTCTCGCCAATCCTATCAGAGTACACAACCAGCGTGACAGCCGGGCCGCCCGTGTGGGCGGATACACGGACAGACGCGTGCGAGATCTGTGAGAGGGATTGGATTCCGCTTTCTTATCATCATCTTATCCCGCGGGGGGTGCATGCGAAGGTCGTTAAGAAGGGGTGGCATGAGGAGTGGATGTTGAATAGTGTTGCTTGGCTTTGTCGGGCATGTCATAGTTTCGTGCATCGTATGGCTAGTAATGAGGAGCTTGCTCGGGAGTGGTTTACTGTTGAGAGGATTTTAGAGAGGGAGGATGTACAGGATTGGGCGGGGTGGGTTGGGAGGGTTAGGTGGAAGGCTAGGTAGCTTTTCTAAAAATTGATATATGAATAATTTAAGTAGATAGCCGTGACTATGGAGGGGAGAGGATGTACAGGTGAGAAGGCACATAAATGGCAATGGCTTGTTGGCCAGCACTGTAAAAACATATACACTTGCTCTATGATCTCCTTAATTACATTGATTGTATGCCTTTCTCTAATCCCTGAGGGATCCAACAACGCCCAAACCATGGATGCAAGTCAATCATGCCGAGAAAAGAAAAATATGATACAAAATCCTCCAAGATCGAGGGGAATGGAGAGCGCCAGAAAATACGGACAAATAGTACAAGCGGTGGTACTCACCGCATAGATGTTGAGATCATATGATGATATCTCAGAGGTATCTCTTCTCAAAGATCTCTTCATAGCATTGGACGTGATCGCCCACTGCAAAGTCAGACCAGTCTTCAAACCCGATACCGCACTCTGTATCCTTGCGCATCTCGGTGACGTCCTTCTTAACGTTCTTGAGAGAAACAATCGTGCCTATAAAAGTTAGTGATGTCCAAAACATTTGCACTGTGGTGTCTGTGAAGCACTTACCATCATAAACGGTCTCATCGCCGCGGATAACCCTGACCTTGCGGGCTCGGTTGATCAAACCGTTACGCACACGAGTTCCAGCAATAGCCGCCTTGTCACGTCCCTTGACAGTGATCTGGAAGATTTGCTGAACCTCGGCTTCTCCAGTCACACGGGTAGTAACCGATGGGGGCAGCTGCTCGCTGAGAGTGGCCTTGACATCATCGATCAACTTGTAGATGATGTTATGATTCATAATCTCAACACCCTCGTTCTCTGCAATACGCATGATGTTGGGCTCGATGGGCTGGTTGAAGGAGATGATTTTACCATTTGCACTGGCAGCATGTTCGATATCGAACTCGCTAATAGGGCCCACACCCGAGCGAAGAACATTAGCGTAGACTTCATTGTTGCCAACTGCAGCAAGGGAGTTCATCACAGCTTCCGCTGAGCCATCCACATCGGCCTTGAGGATGAAATGAACGGCCTTGGGGCCGGTTGGTTCCTCGGGTCTGGAAGTTGATTCGTCATCTTCATTCTCGAGCCTGCGTTTCTCAAGAAGTGCTCGTCGGCTCTCGTTGATAGCAACCATATCCTCACCCATCTTCTGGGTATCGGACTTGTTCAACCGGTGATCTACGACCTCCTTGGCTTTCTGTTCGGTGGGTGCCTGAAGGAGCTCGGTGCCAGCGCCAGGCTGGTCTCTCCAGCCGTCAACCTCAACCGGCATTCCGGGTGTGGCTTCACTGATGGGCACACCGGCTTCGTTGCGGAGAGTCCGGACACGTGCCCAGGTGGTGCCGGCAACAATGACATCGCCAGGTCGCAAGGTTCCACGGCGAATCAGAACAGAAGCCACACGACCATGGCTCTTGGTGGCGGCCTCGAGAACCCAGCCCTCGGCATTGCCATTGATGTCTGCACGGTGATCGAGCATTTCTGAAAGTGCCACAATGGCTTCTTCCAGCTCGACCATTCCTTCTCCAGTCTTACCGCTTACACCAATGGCCTGAACATCACCGCCATAGTCTTCCACGTGGACACCATTGGCAGAAAGATCGCCTTTGACTCGGTCGGTATTCTTGCCCTCCTTGTCAATCTTGCTCATGGCGACAATGATGGGAACATTGGCCTGGGTGGCGTGCTTGATGGCCTCAATGGTTTGAGGCTTGACACTGTCGTCCGCAGCCACAACAAGTACCACAATATCGGTTACATCAGCACCACGGCGACGCATCTCCAAGAACGCAGAGTGACCGGGAGTATCTAAGAAGGTAATAGCCTTTCCAGAAGGCATCATAACAGAGAATGCACCAATATGTTGTGTGATACCACCATGCTCGGAAGCTGCCACCGATGACTTGCGCAGCCAATCCAAGATGGTGGTTTTACCATGATCAACATGGCCCATGATGGTAACCACAGGAGGACGAGTTGGCAGATCGGATGAATCCTCTGGCGGAGGCGCAGCCTTTAGATCATCTGCGCCGGTATCGAAGATGGCCTCGAAGTTGAACTCGGCAGCCACCAGCCCAGCGGTCTCTGCATCGAGGACGTCTCTGTATGTAATGTCCTCGAATCCCATGTCCTCCATGCGTTCAACAAACTGCGCCGGCCGCACACCAATCACATCAGCCAAGTTGCTGACGCTGATAAACTCAGGCAGATACAGAGGCGCTGGGGCATCCTTGGCAGCCTTCTTCGCGGCCTTTTTGGCGGCCTTTTCTTTTTGCTGGCGCCTCCGTTCTTCACGAAGGCGCTGGCGTTCTTCCGAGTCGAATTCTTCTGCTGCCTCGGGTGCCGCTTGACGTCCCCTGCGTCCATCACGGCGCTTCACAGCCTTCTGTGGCTGCGCCTGCTCTTGCGACTCTAGGTTTTCCAACTGCTCGAGTGCAGACATATCCCAGGACCATTGATTTTTTTTAGCCTTTTCCTTCTGTTCTTTCTCTGCCTGAATGGCCTCCTTGTCCTTCGGTTGAGATTCTGCGCGAGCGGAGTCCCCCAGATCGGACTGCTCCGGCTGACCTTGGTCAAATTCGGGCAAAAATGACTTGCCCAGCTCTTGGAACTTTCTTGTGTCCTCGGAGGGGCCCCGAGCAGGTCGCCCTCCTTGAGATTGAGCGGAATCTTCATAGTTTCTCGTTGTTCGGAACCTTGCTTTAAGACCACCCGGCCGAGCGGTGCGGCAGAATGGACATGTCATCTTTGTGCCAAAGACATGCGCCATGCAATTGGGACAGTTCCAGTCATTAGCGGCCATGTCCCGATTATTCCTACCCTGGACTCCATCATGCCACCGTTCTCGGCCGAACGGCATTGCTTCCGAGGGCGTTGAACTTGGGGCGTCGGCAGGATCCCGACTGCCCCAGATATCCGCATCGCGATCGCGTCTTGGCCTCGAGTTGTGGAATGGGTTTGATCGATCGGGTCGCCGCGCCTGTCGTGACTGCGGAGGCGGCGGTGGTGGTACGTTGTGTTCGGCGACCAGAGTATCACGCATAGCCTGCTCTGCGGCACTCAAACCTGCTGTTTTCGAAGCCGTCCGAGCGCCCCAGACGTCTGCATCGCGTTTGAATCGGGAATTCTGGAATGTGTTTAATCGAGAAGAGTCACCCTCCTGAGGAGTTCTGCTGCTGCTGCCAAATGTATCCCGCACAGCTTGCTCTTCGGCGCTCAAGCCTGCCGACTTCGAAGCTAACCGCGGGCCCCGGGAGTCGCGTCTCCGCCTTGAATTCTGAAGCGGATTTGGTCGATCGTTGTATCGTCGCTGCGGTTGCGATTCTGGTTGTTGTTCAGGTTGCGGTGGTGGCGGTGGTGGGTTGCTGGCGACAATACTATTGCGCATAGCTTGCTCTGCGGCACTTAAACCGGCCGGCTTAGTAGCTGCTTTAGGACCCCATCGGCTCCCAAACTTGGGTTTCGCGGGTGCGGGACTTGAAGTAGCATCGTTATTGTTTCCATTTGAGGAATCAGACGTGTTCAAACAGCTCGCAGATGATCTTAACGTTCGGCGAATGCTTAAAGCTGTTAAAGAGGGTTTTAGGCCGACTGAACCCGACAATCCAGCCCGATGTGAGAGCTATAACCATTAATAAGAAGGTCAAACACAGCAGTAGCTCGAAACTTACCTTCAAGACTGGCCGACGATGCATAATTGTTCTCTCCACATTTGATCCGTCAACACTTTTTTCCCCATGCAGAAGTTCGAGACGACCAGCTTATGTCAGCTGTTTACATCAGCCGCTTACGTAAATTCTCCGCCGGTAAAGTCACGTGCATCGGCGGCCCCCTCGAATCAGCGGGCAGATGGCGACATTGCGATAAGCCGTTATAAAGTCGCGAGCCTCCTTCTCTTGTATTCTTTTGCAATTGAGTATCGAACATGGAGTCTGAGGCCTTTGAAGACATTGAGAAGGGTGGCGGTGCCCTCCGCACCGTCAAGGATCTGGCTGCGGGCGCAGCTGGTGGAATGGCCCAAGTGCTGCTCGGTATGTGTGCACCCTAATTTGAGTGGATTCCGGGGAAGCGCCAGGGACCTCACGACATGAACCCTGAGCCCCGGACTATGCAAAATCCATTCTTTGACATGTATTATTGGAATTGCTAACAAATAAATAGGTCAACCCTTTGGTACGTGATGCGATAAAGCACAATATGAACATCGATTAACAAAACCAGATATCGTCAAGGTGCGATTGCAAACCACCACTCAATACAGCAGTGCTCTGGAGTGCGCAACCCAGATCTTCAAAAATGAAGGTCCGGCAGCCTTCTACAAGGGAACTCTGACCCCTCTCATCGGTATCGGAGCCTGCGTAAGTGACTCTAAACCGGATACCAGCATAGCAAACCCCTAACCCAGCAATGCAGGTGAGTGTCCAGTTTGGCGCATACCACGAGGCTCGCCGCCGCCTCGAAGAGCTGAACAAGAAGAAATACGCCGTTTCTGCTCTTTCGTACACCCAGTACTACATGGCCGGTTCATTCGCCGGTGTGACCAACTCTGTGCTGTCCGGCCCAATCGAGCACGTGCGTATCCGCCTGCAGGCGCAGCCCCACGGCGCCGGCCGCCTGTACTCTGGCCCTCTGGACTGCGTGAGCAAGCTCTCTGCTCAGGGTGGTACCCTCCGCGGTTTGTACCGCGGCCAGGCTGTTACTGTCCTACGTGAGGCCCAGGCTTACGGTACTTGGTTCATGGCGTTTGAGTTCATGATGAACCAAGATGCCAAGCGCAACAACATGAAGCGCGAGGATCTTTCCAGCGTTAAGGTTGCTACTTATGGTGGTCTCGCTGGTGAGGCTCTCTGGCTCTCCAGTTACCCCTTCGATGTTGTCAAGAGTAAGATGCAGACCGATGGATTCGGTGCCAACCAGAAGTTCAGCAGCATGCGCGATTGCTTCAAGAAGACTTATGCTGTTGAGGGTCTGGGTGGTTTCTGGAAGGGTATTGGTCCCACTTTGCTGAGAGCTATGCCCGTCTCTGCTGGAACTTTCCTTACGTATGTTTCCCTTCATTTGATCATCGAGAAACGCTGCTAACCCGTATCTTTAGTGTCGAGCTGGCCATGAAGGCTCTCGCTTAAGTACTGATCGTACTATGATGAAAGTTGACGCATTCGGTTTTTGTTCGTCCAGGCTATTTTCACTCGAATTTCTTGATATCCAGGGCTCGTCCATTTCCTAAGAGTTAGATAGAGGACTACCAAAAGTGAACGGCATTCCAAGCTTAGAAGCCTGTATCTATGTTTACATTTGGCATTGAATTATTTGTTAGATAGAAGCATATACGCCGGGTGTCCAATACAAAGCTATATATCTACATAGCCAACGAAAAATCCCCAAAGAAATCCTGCCAGGCGGTAGGAAAATAAAACAAATTCAACCCCGGGAAGTCCCACTCAGATACAAACTGCTCAGGCACGAACCACTGAAGATCCGCCTGGGCATCAAACAGCTCCCAGAACGGCGATGTAGCAGTTTGCCCATCCGAGCTCGGCTGCTGCGTTTCCCGCAACGCAAGTCCATATTTCTCAATACTGACCTTCAAAATCTGCAAGTAGATATTCCCAGCACCAGACTGATTACCATTTGAACCTGCTTTGCTCAATTCAGACACGAGTTGGTTGCCGTGGTCTAGAAGCTCTTGATGTTCCTCGTCTCGTTCGGGAAGTAGACGTGATAGTTTCAATAGTAATAAGAAGGAGAAGGCGCACTTTGCCCAGACAAAGTCCATGGCGTACTTTAGCTTGGCGAGGTAGAAGTCTGGTTCGACTATTATGAGTCGGAGATGGCGACGGGCACTTGCTTTTGCTGTCAGGAGAATTGTTCGTTCGGTGGTGGACATGGCCCTGCTTGGGGTTAGTTGGTGGTAACCTCCAGAGATAGGGCGGTTGACATACGCGACGTTCTCGACGCCCATGGCTCGTAGTGCTTTGCAGTTGAGCATCATTTCAGCCCAGCATTTTTGTACTCGCAGAGCGACGAGCAAAGATGGTTTCTCTTCTTCGGCACTAATGCAGCTTTCTTGTTTAATTATCAGTTATCTGTTAATCCCAAATAATGTGTTTGGATTATAACAATTTGTATCATACCGATGATGCGTAGCCAGTCACTGCCAAGAATTAGCATACAAAATCTCAGAAAGTAGACCAATGTAACTCACTCAAACCATAAATCCAGTTCAATCTTCATATCATGAACATAATCGGCTATACCTTGTCGGTCAAGTGTAGTGCCTCCTCCCAAAGTATCACCCACGTTGGCTTCAGGGAATGGTTAGCAATGCTTCTGGGAGACGAATGAGACAAGACCAATCACCTCTGAGGATATTCAACTGACAATAAGAAGTAAGCATCTCGTCCAAACAAGCTGTGAAAATAGATAGCATCGATTTATCATACCTCGACCTGAGAAAACAACCGCAAATCCAAAATAGTCGAAGAAGGATGGGAAAGCAAAACCCGACAGCGCCGAGCATTTCCTTTCAGTCGAATACCTGGAGGTTTCCCACCATCAACACGGAAACTACATTAGAATCCATTAGTATACAGCTCAATCAAGAGGGAGAAAAAAAGGCATCTTACATATGCTCCAAAACCAAAAGTCCAAACCAAGTCCGAGCCTTCCACACCAAAGCCCTCTCCTCCTCGAACATCTGATGCGGCAAGGCATAAGCCATATCTTCATTTTTGATCGCAAGGCGCTGAGTCAATTCATCGAAGGCTTCATGTAACTCCAAGTCCAGGGCCATGCGAGTAGCAAAGGATAATATTAGAGACCGTTCAGATGAATAGCAGGCAACGACTAGCATTGCTTGCACGGATTCAAGGCAGTTGAGTTGCTTGTTTTGGACGATTACGTTGATCCATCTCTTTAGTTCGGCATGTAACGTATCAGACATTGGGCCGCCGGATCCTGTTAAGATTGCTTTAGCGTCAGGCTCACACCATCTGAGGGACCATAGGGTGAGCGAGTAATGTGAGGAATTCCGAGGTAGAGCCAGTAGTAGGAGTCGTAGTATTTAGCATGCACCAAGGTGCGAGCGGGCGCTAAATACAACAACTCCTACTGGTTATACCTCGAAGTTCTCGCTCACCTTATAAACTCTCAAGAAGTCTATGGATTGTTTGGGGACGGGCTCTTACTGGTTTCAACCATGCAACCAATTGTGCATATAGCATTGAGAAGAATGCTACTTCGTGATCGGATGGAGTCGAATGTGTCGTATTCCGGATCGAAGATTGGAATGTATCTGTCCTGTGTAGTTTTCAAACATGAGTATTCAAAGCGTACCGATATGAAGGGTGGCACATACACATCCTCCAAAGAACCTAGGCTAGAGTCAATATAATACTCAAAAAAGAAAAATTCAGCGATGTATCTCGCAGGGGAACATACGTATTGAAATAAGAAACAGCATACTCTGGCGTGATGAGACCCTTATCAATGAAATCCGCAATAGGTTCATCCCGAATCTCAAACCCGGACCGTTTCCTCTTTAGCGGTCGAGTAACAGTCTGATTAGGGGCTTCATAGATAGACTGAGTTGCGATCTCATTCGGAGAGAGGGTTGGTATAGACGGAATGGATCGTTGATACTGATGACCATTCATATACCCACCGGGCCCTGGGACTGGGATAGTAGGAAGCCCATCTTGGGAATGATCCTGTGAGTGAGGATACTGGGAGCATGAAGAGCCACAGAAACTCTCGCGGCGTACTTGTTGTTGCCGATCACGGGGTTGGGCTGGGGAGTGAGTTCCTTGTGATTTTGGCGTTGTGTGTGCGCGGCTTTGTTGAATTAGCTCACGCATCTCATCCAGTTGCCGTCGGAGGTATTGGATCTCGGATTCGACACCCTCGATTCTTCTGGAGGACGTTAGTTGTTTGATCCGTTTATCTTGGTCAACAAAGGCTCACTCTGAGACAGGGTCTTTCGGTATTTCGAAGAAGATACATTGTTTCTCTAGCTTCTGGCATCTAGACCGCGGAATTAGTGCTATACATTTCAATTGGATCATGATATCGGGGACTTTGATTTACCTTGTACATGGTCTCTCTCCATCGCATTTGACCTAGAAGGAAATCAGCCTCAACACCTTGAATTCGTCGAATTGAGCACAGACCTTCGACTGTCGACAAGCACTACACGCTTTCTATGCATCAAAACGCCAGAAATAGTTAGATCCCATCCGGTTCATGGAGTGTGCATTGCAGGGGTTCAATTGGCCAAAAGCCAATATGCTACGTACCGGAATACGCTTTTTCCCAGTGGGCGCGGGAACAAGATGCAAGGAGTCCCCAGCGTCCATCCCTGCGCTATACGGACTACAGTCCGCAGGATCATCCATGAGTGAGTCGTGTTCCGTTTGCGCCGAGGGCTCGGGGAAGACGGAAAGGGGAAAACCTGGAGAAACGCGGGGTTCGGCTATAGCTCCGAACCGGCTATTCAATTTACCAGAACTGGTTCGCCGTTGAACCGGCGTTTTAAATGCGTATATTATCTAAGTTCTAAGCGGTTTTACGAGCTGGAATATGGATCTAGGCTCTCGTTTCGTTAATAGACAACGCATATAAACTGAAAACAAGTACTGAAATCCTCCCTACTATAACACAACATAAAAGCAGGATCTGAGTCGACAGATCTTAGAATACATAGACGAAATCCTCGTTCTGCCAATCAGTCAGGTCCTTCCAGCTATTGTCCACCATTTGTTGGGCAGGCAGATCTTCTTTGTCGTCCGAAGCAACTTGGACGGCTTGCATTGACTGATCGACGACCTTGGCACTTTTTCCAACAGCCACACGTCTCTGTTCATGCTTCTTGTTCAAGAAATGAAGGTATGCCATGTTCGCCCTGGAAATCAAATTTAGCAAAAAAAGGTATTACACCATGGTGTAGAGAACTCAACTCACCCGGTTAGCAGTATCAACACACAGAACAGTGCCAGGCTAGTGGATTGTTAGTGACTGCGAAACAGATTCAATCTTTGTGTACTTACTTGGATAGAAGTCCACGGCGGTAAAGTGGTGCCTCGTTAGTGGTATAAAGGTTGGGACCGAGGACCTATCGTCAAGCAGGTCAGTGGCGGAGAACAAGGTCTCAGTTGTCTTCGTTGCGTTTCTTACATTACCAGCGCACTGTCCAACGTAAAGGATACCGGTAGTAACCTTCTTCTTAGTCTCTCCTGCAGTGTTTCCTGCGGACCATGAGTAGATCAATGGAGCTAAGTAGGGTTAGCCATGCCTCTCATAAGAACCAAGCAGACACTTACTGATAGCTGGGTACACAGAAATCTAGTTCATATAGGTTAGCAGTTTTCCACGGGAATTGTTGTCCCTGCTGACCACTTACAATATAGTATCCCGCAAGCAAAGGTCCCTTGTGGGCAGCATCGTGCGTAATCTGCAAGAGCATGACACACCCGGCGATAGGAGGAAGGCACAGCAATGCCACCACAGGGCCTTTCATCTTCCAACAAGTCGCCAGCCATGCACTTCCCATAGTTGCGACAAGCTGAACAGCTCCAAATGGAATGTTGAACAACATGGTGTCATATTGGCTGAGACCGAAGGACTTGATGATTAATGGACCGAACGTGGTGATACCGCCACTTGGGACACTGGAATGGCAGACTGTTAGTAAATTACTTTTGGCTCTGCCTCAAGAGATAAGGGTGACGTACGAGATTGAGAACATCAACGCAAACCAGAACCATGACTTGGGGTCGAGGAATGCTTCCTTGACATGGTCCCATTTCCATTCCTGGCTCTCCACACCCTGTTGATTCATCCGCTGTCTATAAACCCGTAAGTAGATGTGCCTCATAGCTTGGACCTCAGGCTAAATACCTTTCAATCGCAAGTAGTTTGTCTTCTTCGTTGAGAAATTTGGCCGAGACGGGGGAGTCAGGCATGAAGACACTATTGTAAAAGACTGTATTAGTATAATGTTCATGGATGTGATAGGGAAAGGTCAAATCTCACAGGATGACGGCAGCGAACGCAACGGTAACCAGACCAAAGAAAAGGAAAATGATCTTAAGCATTGTTAGATTGAGAATCGAGAAAAAGAGCCCGTATTAGGTAGCTTACCTGGTAGGGTGCAAAGATAGAAGAGCGGATGTGTCCCAGTCCATATGCAATCAAACTTCCGAACTGTCCAAGGTCAATGTATGCCAAAATGCACCAGACGAAAGGAACCCACCATGTTCACAACTCCATTCATTGCGTACCAGGAACTCAATCTCACTGGCTGTTCACGACGCCGGTACCACATTTGAGTAACTGCAATGAAAGCCGGGGCTAATTGTACCCTTCATCAGCTAGGTCAACGTCTATGATCAGACCAACACTTACCAATTCCAGCCTCAAAGATACCCAAGAAGATTCGGCAAGCAAGGAGCTCTCCAAAGTTGGTTGCTGCTGTCATGCAAGATAAAGCAATACCCCAGAGAAGACACGACGCAGCCAGGAACTTGCCCAGGGGCACCTTGACCAAAACGTAGGCGACCAGGGGCTGGAACACCAGCTGAGCCAGATAAATCGAGGCTCCTAACCAGGAATACTGATGGCCATGGAGGTTGGCTTTCTCAACAATGCCAAAAATTGAGGCATAGGAGATGGTTGACTTGTCGAGTTGCTGGAGGAAGTAGATTCCTAGGAGAATAGGGAGCAGACGCAGGTCGATCTTTCGAAGGACTTTCGCGTTGTTCTCGGGAGTGAGGATAGTTGAGTGACCTGCCTCCTGGATGAGTTGGAGAGCATGGTCTCCTTGAGTCTGATTCTTTTTGCCATCATCGGAGTGACGGGCTGCAGATTGTTGCGAGGGTTCGATGGTCTCAACAAACTCCTCCTGCTGGGCCTTCGGCTGTGACATTCGTGCCTCCTGCGACATGGTTGATCACTCGCAGAGGCTGCAAGATATTGATATATAGATGAGTAGTAATATGAAGGTAACTTCTCAGGGGTGGGAAGACGAGGAATTAGGGCTGGATATATCAGTACCCCGTGGGGAAGACGAAGTATATTACATACCCCGGACGAAACACGATCAAACCCGACGGTCATACCACGGCGCCTGAATTAGCCTTTCGCCTCTGTGGCATAGTTTCCGTTTCCTGTGCCGAGTCTGTCTAGTGCCTCTAGTGTGTCTTGAGTCTAGTCTGACCACGTCAGGTTATGTGGGGAGACACGGCAGCACACACTCGGCCCGCACAACCTCCAGTCCAATCAATTGCCTCGTTCTAGGGCTCGTGGGAGGAGAAAAAGCAGAGTTTTGACGGGACCAGGAATAACATCGGCTTTCGGTGAACAAACCCGATATTGTCTTGGCGGATCTGGGGAAATGCGGGGGGAAAGGCAAATTTGGACATATGCGGGAATATTCAACTTCGGTGGTCAACACCGATCTCCGACTGTATAACCCCCCACGTAACTGCATCATCAATGGGACCAGCGGGGGTCATGCAATTTGAAGGATCTCAGGAAGCATTCAAATACGGCACCATGTCAGGGCAGATCCTGGTCTTTTCAGATTCCTGGAATCAATCACATCCTCATTATGCCTCAAAAAGAAGTCTGCCCGAAGGGCTACCAGCAAGTGCCCCAGACTACGAACTCTGAAGCTTCGGTTCAAGTTCGCAGCAGCACAAAGAGCAAGACTCCTTTCGACTTCACCTTCGAGGCCATTCGCCCCAACCTCTTCCGTGCCACCTTCGCTTCCGCAGATCACCCTATTCCTCCTTATCCCAGCGTCACCAAGCCCGCCACCAACCTTCAGGGTGTCAATGTCTCTACCAAGGAGGATGCTACCTCCAAGACCATTGATGTTGCCGGTGTCACCGCCAAGGTAGAGTGGGAGCACACCCCCGTGGTCAATATTTCATGGACCGGCTCCGAGAAGTCTCTGCACAGTGATCTGCCTCTACGATCCTATGTCGCAGACTCTGAGGGTGTCGCGAACTACTCTGTCCATGACCGGGAATGTCTTCACGTTGGTCTGGGTGAGAAGGCAGCTCCGATGGACCTGAGCGGCCGCAGCTTTCAGCTCTCCGCTACCGACTGCTTCGGGTACGATGTCTACAAGACCGATCCTCTGTACAAGCACATCCCGCTCCTGATCAAGGCCTCTGCCGAGGGTTGTGTGGCCATTTTCTCCACTACCCATGGCCGTGGTCTGTGGTCCGTTGGTGCCGAGATCGATGGTCTCTGGGGTCACTTCAAGGTGTACCGCCAGGACTATGGTGGTCTTGAGCAGTACTACATCGTCGGCAAGACTATCCCGGATGTTGTCCGATCTTATGCCGAGTTGGTCGGCTTCCCGATTCTCGTGCCCCGCTGGGCTTATGGTTATATCTCTGGTGGCTACAAGTACACCATGTTGGATGAGCCTCGTGCTCACTTGGCCCTCCTTGAGTTTGCCGAGAAGCTGAAGCAGCATGGTATCCCCTGCTCGGCTCACCAAATGAGTTCAGGCTACTCTATTGCAGAGACCGAACCCAAGGTTCGCAATGTCTTCACCTGGAACCGAAGCCGTTTCCCCGACCCCGAGGACTGGATTAAGAAGATGCACCAATACGGTATCCGTCTTCTGACCAACATCAAGCCTTTCCTGTTGGAGTCCCACCCCGACTTCCAGAAGCTTGTTGATGCAGGTGGTTTCTTCAAGGACTCCGACAAGGAGCCCGGTTACATGCGTCTGTGGAGTGCTGGTGGTGCCACTGGCGGCGACGGTGCTCACATCGACTTCACCTCTAAGGAAGCCTTCAAGTTCTGGTATGACGGCGTGCAGAGCCTGAAGAAGGTTGGCATTGATGGCATGTGGAATGACAACAACGAATATACCCTGCCTGATGACGACTGGACACTCGCTCTCAACGAGCCCACCGTCGCCGACGCCGCCGCAAAAAACGTGAAGAACTCTGTCGGTCTCTGGGGTCGTGCCCTCCACACCGAGCTGATGGGCAAGTCCTCGCACGATGCCCTCCTCGATATGGAGCCCAAGTACCGTCCCTTCGTTCTGACCCGCAGCTCTACGGCCGGTACAAACC